CTTATCACCGTTACTCTCCCCGGCATTTTTCTTACATTAACTCTGTCAGTCAGACTGTGGAGCCTTCCTCCTTTGCCGAGGCTGCCACTGACCCCAATTGGCAACGTGTTATGACTGAGGAGCTTCAAGCTTTACATGCTAATGGTACTTGGACTTTAACTTCCTTGCCCCCTGGCAAAATTCCCATTGGTTGTAAGTGGGTGTACAAACTCAAGCACAATTCTGACGGCTCTATTGACCGCTACAAAGCTCGTTTGGTTGCTAAAGGCTTCACTCAGGCTGAAGGTATTGATTATCATGACACTTTTTCTTCTACTGCTAAGATGATTACGGTGCGTTGTCTTCTTACTCTTGCTGCTAGTCAGTCTTGGTCTCTTCATCAGCTTGATGTTAATAATGCTTTCTTACATGGTGACTTACATGAAGAAATCTATATGTCTCCTCCTCCTGGTCTTCGGCGACAGGGGGAGAATCTTGTGTGTCGCCTTCACAAGTCACTTTATGGTCTTAAGCAGGCTTCTCGCCAATGGTTTGCCAAATTCACTAGTGCCATCATTTCTGCCGGTTTTCAACAATCCAAAGCTGACTATTCATTGTTCACTAAAAAGTCTGGTATTTCTTTCACAGCTTTGCTCATTTATGTGGATGATATTGTGATTACAGGCAATGATGCTAGTGCCATTAATTCTCTGAAGTCTTTTCTCCGTGATCATTTTCGGATAAAAGACCTTGGTGATTTAAAATATTTTTTGGGTATTGAGGTTTCTCGTTCCAAACAAGGGATTTATATTTCTCAACGCAAGTATGCATTAGAGATTCTCAAGGACTATGGTTTTTTGGGAGCACGACCCATTGCTTTTCCTATGGATGACACAAAATTATCTGATAAAGGAGAACTTCTCAAGGATCCTGAAAAGTATCGACGATTAGTAGGTCGGTTAATATATCTCACTATCACTCGGCCGGATATCACATATTCTGTGCATGTTCTAAGCCGTTTTATGCACGAGCCAAGGATATCTCATATGGATGCTGCGCTTCGTATTGTTCGTTATTTGAAGGCTACTCCAGGTCAAGGTTTATTATTTCGTTCTGACAACCAGACCAAGTTAACTGCGTTTTGTGATTCTGATTGGGCAGGTTGCCCTATCACTCGCCGTTCGACTACTGGGTATTGTGTATTCTTGGGCGGTTCTTTGATTTCTTGGCGGCCGAAACGACAGAAAACCGTTTCGCTCTCTTCAGCAGAGGCGGAATATAGGGTCATGGCAGGTGCTTGTTGCGAGATAGTTTGGCTTCGTTTTTTGTTGAAGGATTTGAACATTCCTTTGGATGGTCCTTCCATTTTATTTTGTGATAATCAAGCAGCGTTACATATAGCTGCCAATCCTGTTTTTCATGAACGAACTCGTCACATTAAGATGGATTGTCACTTTATACGAGATAAGATTGTAGATGGCACAATAGAGACCAAGCATGTGGGTACGACACAACAGTTGGCAGACTTGTTTACCAAACCTCTTGGGAAAGAAAAGTTTTCGGGTATGTTACGCAAGTTGGGAGTTCTTGACATCCACTCTCCAACTTGAGGGGGAGTGTTAGACAAATAAGGAATATGGTTGGAATCCTTGTGTAATTGTATATAATATTATTATTGGAAGAATAAGCCGTCCTACAGCCGTCAAGCCGTCCTAGCTTGTCTTCTAGCCGTCCTATCTTGTCACTAGCCGTCCTAGCTTGTCTACTAGCCGTCCTACCTTGTCCTACCTACACATTTGTATCATGTATATATATCCTTGTAATCTTGTAGAGAAAAAAAAAGAAAACATAAGCATTCTCTTCCATAAGCATTCTCTTCCATTTGCATTCTCTTCCATTTTTCCACATTCATGTATCAATAACAAATATAATTTTTAGCCTACATACCTCTTTCTACAGATCAAATAAAATATCTACGATTCATTTATATTGAGTATACGCTGGTAGTACAGTACGGCAATAATTTAAACCCCATAAAGAGGTTTACTGAACTTTGTTAAAATGGGTCTGGTGGTAAGAACACCTACTGCCGCACTCATGGCTAGTGTTCAACTCTCACGTTTCCATTCTAAATATTTTACGATAAAAAAGAGGAAACCAGCAAATGTTCTAGTAAGAGACGAGGGTCATATTATGCTCTCAGACTTCGATCTCTCACTCCGTTGTTCTGTCAATCCTACAATAGCCAAGTCTTCATCTGCCCATGTAAGCAATGGTGGTGCTGCCGGTGGTGGTGGTGGTGGCGGGGGCATTTTAGACGATGGCCTTGCTGTGCATGGTTGTATGCAGCCTTCCAATTTCTTTCCACGCATTTTACCTACCAAGAAAAACCGGAATTCCAAATCAGATTTTGGCCTTTCGACTAATGGATCCCTCCCTGAACTGATGGCAGAGCCTACAAATGTGCGTTCCATGTCATTTGTTGGAACACACGAATATCTAGCCCCAGAGATTATTCGCGGAGAGGGCCATGGAAGTGCAGTGGACTGGTGGACATTTGGTATCTTCTTATACGAGCTCTTACATGGGACAACCCCCTTCAAAGGTCAAGGAAGTCGTCCCACGCTCTTCAACGTTGTAGGCCAGCCTCTGAAATTCCCAGAAACACTACAAGTAAGCGTTGTGGTGCGTAATCTCATACGAGGACTCTTGGTGAAAGAACCACATAAACGAATTGCGTACAAAAGGGGTGCCACAGAAATAAAGCAACACCCATTTTTCGAGGGAGTGAAATGGGCTCTGGTGAGATGTGCTACGCCTCCCCATGTTCCTGAACCGGTAAACTTTTCACAATATGCCAGCAAGGAGGCGAACTCTGCAGACAAAAAGATGACAGATGTGGGAAGTGATAAGAAGAACGGTAGTAATGATTCATCTTATGTAGATTTTGAGTACTTCTAGCACTCCTTTAGGATGATATTTTACATTCTCGGGAGGAAAACTACATTGTACAAAGAGCAAAACGTTGCAACCCGATGAGATATATACTTATCATTACATGTTGAGGGTTTCACAGAGAAAACATTTGTTAGCAGAATACTATTGATTTCTTTCTAGGCAAGGGGAAATAACAACACATATATAGGGATGGAAATTGCATCTAAAGTTTTGTGTGTCATTCTTTCGCGTGTATATGCATCGATTTCTGTTTAAGGATTTGTCGATGTGTACTACATTGTATATGATTTGTATCTGGTCTGGTGTAACATACTGTCAAATTGTTCAAAGTAGGACTAATACTTGTTCCGTTGCTTCGGAATTTCGTGCTGATTATGGAACTCCTCAGGCTGAATTGAAAAGTAGATTGTGTTAATGATACAACTCCTGGATATTGTATGCTGTCATAGTAAACTTGTTTAGAATTTGTATGGGGAGATAGCAGTACTGTCTTGTATAATATTCTCTACCCTTGACTTGTTTAGGCATCTCCTTGCACTTGGTAAAGATGCCTACTTGAGCAGGCCTTTGGGACTGCAAAGTGGGTTTATTCTGAAACCCAAAGTGAATATTCAAAATATAAAATACTAAAAACAAAAAAATAAAAATACGCGAGACTCTAATACCATGAAATTAAAGTTCCACTTTAAAATTAATTGACAATAAGAGGGTATCACAACTCCACATAAGTCGTTGCATAACTTATACACTTTCCAACATGAGACAACTATTCACATTGATGAGGTATGATGAAAAATTCTAACGACAACCAAGAGGCCACCCCGGCACAACGAGAAATACTAAGGAGACCCACCATGCATGACTAAGGACTTTCTTGATTGCTCTAGATTACATGGTACTCCAAATGTTTTAATTGTTAAATCTTTATTTAAAAGTATAAAAATCAAGATCGAATAGTTAAAACACCTGGAGTATGGTACTCTAGAGCACCCTAGACGCTTTGTCCATGACTATACATAACACAGCTCAGGGCACAAAAAGGTATACTAACTAGCTATTAATCTAGTGACAGAAAAAACCTCTCTCTCTAAAACCTTTATTTCCCTCTGCCTTAAAGAAAAAAGAAACCCTCCTAGTCGCCGCTCCTTACTCTGACTTGGGGTTGGCGGCAACCCGACTCCCACCTCTTTCTAGCCTTTCTTCCCTCTTCCTCTTCCTTCTCCACCCCCTGTAGCTTCCCTCTTTCCCCATCTTTTCTTTCCATCCATCTCTACTCTTTGCATCTTCCCTCTTCCCCCTTCTTTCCTTCATCCTTCCCCCATCCTCCCACTCAAAAAGTTTTTTTAATTTCAGCACTTTTTCCGTTGATCCAATTGTTTTGTTGGTTCGTCCTCTTGATGATGGTGGTGGTCTTGCAATGGAGGGACATCTAGTGGCTGCTGGTTTCCATTTCAGTTTGAGGGTTTTTTTGTTGTTGTTCAGCTGGCCACTTTGGGTCTACGCCTATCTACTGTATTTTCTTATTTGTTGCTGGGCTTGTATTTAGGTAATGGGTTGCCTTCTTGTACTAGTCTTTCTAATTAATGGAAGTAATTTAGTTTGACCAAAAACAAAAATATCTAGCTATATTAATACTTCTCTTCTTTGTGTTAAAAGACGTCTCAACTTCGAACTCTCATGATGCGTTAGCAAGAGATTGGAAAACAGGATTGAGTATAGTAGGTTTGATGAAATATGTAAAATTAGTTGGATAGAAAATAAAATATTTCAAAAGAAACGCCCGTGTAAACAAAAAGTTCTTTTATTAAAAAATAGATAAATAAAATAGTAAAAATGTTAGTGTTGCTCCTCGTTAATAGGAAGAGATCCTCTCCGGATCTTTCTCACCAAAACCATCAAGTCCATTTATCCGGATTCTTAAAATTTGATCCAATGGTACAAACATGCTCCTTAAAAGTTATAATAATTTTAGCTGATTGATCAAATTTCAAAGACCTAAATGAGTGGACTAGATGGTTTTGTGGGAGAGATCCGGAGAGGATCTCTTCCTCTAGTTAATCCAAATGAATGACAGTGAGTGAGCAATTCTTGACACGCTCTTCTGAGACCTCACTACTTTCAATCTGAACGAGAAATACAACGTTTTTGTCATCACGCACTCTCATTTCTAAGTTCCCATTTCAGCCTCCGACCTTTCAATTTCATTAAGTAAACAACAAATATTCACTTTTCTTCGCTGATTCTGTTTTCTCTCGCCAAAGCCGAAAGCTTTCGAAGCAAAAAGCACGAAACTTTGACCTGTTTTGGTGTCAGGGGAGAAATGGAGGCGTTCGATAAGAAAAAGGTGACCAACCCAATTGTCGAAATGGACGGTACGATTTCTCTCCACTCCCATCTGATTCTCTGATTTCTATTTTCCGCCATTGTTTTGTTGCGAACTCTTGTTTAAGCTGCTCAAAAATAGCATGTTTCTCTGCTTTTTTGAATGCTTGAATTAATCTGGAAAATATGGATGGATAGACATTATACAAATGATCAAAGTGGTGTTTTTGGATGATCCCATTGATCAGAGCATGCCCTTCAATCCATGTTTTAAGGACACCCCAACTATCATGCACCATAAAAGTAGATGATCTTAGAATTACAGGATTTTGGTCAATTTGTGGGCTTTCTTGCCTTACCCACCAGTCCACTACTATGATGTTTCTGAGCTCATAGATTTAAATGATTAAACTTCTTTTTCGTTCGTTTGAGCCGAATTGCGTGCAAATTATCTTATTAGAGGGTAAGGACATAGATGCAATGCAACATCTGAATTGAGATGTATATATCTTTGCCGGAGGCTTGGAGCTGTACTGATTCTGATTTATTCAACTTTTTGTTATCTATGTTTAAGCTATGATGCATTATTTTCCGTGATGCAGGAGATGAAATGACTGGGGTGTTCTGGACATGGATAAAAGACAAGGTAATTTTGTTATCATGTGTTCCCTGTGATTTCATAGAGTTGTTGATGAATCTGCAACTTGTTTTCGTGTTCCACAGCTTATTTTTCCCTTCCTGGAGTTGGATATCAAGTACTTCGACCTTGGGATTCTTAATCGCGATGCCACCAATGATAGAGTCACAATTGAAAGTACCGAAGCTACTCTTAAGTGTGCCCTATCATTCTCCCTTCACAGTTGCTTTGCTATACTCAACTACCCTTCATGAACTTACTGTTTTTCTTCCCTTCATTTTAGTTGTTGCTGCTTTCTTTTTCCTTTTTTACTGGCACGAGTTTGGCATGTTTAAATGGGCTCGACATGAGTTTGTCATATACTTTTGAACGGAATGACAAGTCAAATTGTTCGTGCTAGGCACAATTTGTCATATTCTATTAAAACAATTAGCATCTTTATTGAAACTAATTTTTTCATGAAAATTACTTTATCACCTGTTGATGCTCCTTTATTTTTGTTGTATAAATTTGCTTCCTTTTTTTGCTTGTTATCGTAGGTACAATGTAGCAATAAAGTGTGCAACTATAACTCCAGGTATTATACAGATTCATAAATTTAGAGACAATGTGCATTTCTCCTTAATAAATGGACTACTTGGCCCTTTTTCATGGACATGATTTGGCCAACGTACTATTGTGATGATCTGGATCATTTATTTGGATGTTTATAGATGAAACTCGTGTGAAGGAGTTCAACTTGAAACAGATGTGGAGGAGTCCAAATGGGACCATACGGAACATTTTAAATGGTCAATTGAATACTCCCTCAATATCTAGTATTTACCATTGTGTATTCTTTGTTTGACCGATTGTAAGTAGCCAATGCATTTTGGTGTCTGTCGGTACTGTTTTTAGAGAACCTATTCTGCAGAAATGTTCCCCGTCTTGTTCCAGGTTTGCTACAAGTTTGTCATCTAAATTTGCCTTTGTATCATTGTCAAAAGAACTATAAGTTAGTGTTCATTTCAGGTTGGATAATGCCAATATGTATTGGGAGACATGCTTTTGGTGATCAGTACCAAGCAACTGATGCAATCATAGAAGGACCTGGAAAACTTAAATTGGTTTTTGGTAATTCAGTAGGAGCTTCAAGATTTCTGAGTTTGACTTTTGACTGTTTAAAGTACTTGTATAGAAGTTAATCTGGTGTGCTTTTCTTACACACACACACACACACCATATAGGTACATTATTATCTTATCAATTGCTTTGCAGTACCTGATGGGCCCAATGAGAAGACAGAGTGGGAGGTTTACAGTTTTACTGGCGCTGGAGGCATAGCTTTGTTCATGTATAACACGGACGAGGTTCAAATTTTCCGTTCAAGCAAAAATAAAAATTTCTGGTAAACTAATTACATCTGTAAATGATTTGCTGACAGCTATTTTTTATTATCCTTAAATTGTGAGAGCAGTCTATCCGTGCTTTTACTGAGGCTTCCATGGACACTGCGTACCAGAAAAAGTGGCCACCTTATCTTAGCACTAAAAATACTATTCTGAAGAAATATGATGGAAGGTATGATGTTATCCTGTTGCCTTGCATCTTTCACCGTGCAATCTTTTCTGTTCATAATTACCCATGTTTCATTATGAGTCGGTATGAGTTTATGATGTAACGTTTCACTACAGGATTTTTTTATTGCCATTTTCTTACTCTTGAATTTAATGAAGATTCAAGGACATCTTCCAGGAAGCTTATGAAGCCCATTGGAGATCAAGATATGAAGCTGCAGGGATTTGGTGAGATAACTTGTCATCCAAGCTGATTAGTTTGTGTAGGTCCGGTGATTTTCAACTAATTAGAAGTCTGATTTGAAGGTATGAGCATCGTCTTATTGACGACATGGTTGCTTATGCTCTCAAAAGTGAAGGAGGTTATGTTTGGGCATGCAAAAATTAAGATGGGGATGTGCAAAGTGAAAATGGGTCCGGACCTCCTGCGGGAATGATTTGGAAGATCCAAAATCAAAAATAGTGGTATTTGCTAGCAACAACATAATGGAGGCAGTCAATCAATATAGATTGATCCGAAATCCTTTCCTATTTCTTCTAGTCGTAGGGTTAAAACCAAAAAATATTTATTGCTTTCTTGATGACATTAAGTTCTTTCAAAATTGACTATCTGTCCCTCTGTTAGAAGTGTTCCAGAAATGTCTGCGATTGAGTAAATAGCTCTACGAACGAATATAGCCCGAGGTCTGTATTTACTTTTGTTAGTCTGTGAGTTAGTATTCAACTATTTCTCTTTTTAACGTGTGGTGCTGCTTTTGTTGGAAGCAAATGCTATTTCCTTGACTGTCCTAGCGAATGTGTTTGCTAATGTTTGGTTACCTTTCAATAAACTTTGATACAGGTTTTGGATCACTGGGGCTGATGACATTTATACTGGTAATCAATTTTGTCTAATATTTCGCTATGCTTGTTGGGGGTACAGTTATGAGTTTGGATGCATGAAAACTTGGATTTGGTTCCAGGTGTGCCCAGATGGAAAGACCATCGAAGCTGAAGCAGCCCATGGTACAGTAACCCACCATTACCGGGTCCACCAGAAAGGAGGCGAAACAAGCACAAACAGCATAGCTTCGATCTTTGCATGGTCACGAGGTCTTGCACTCAGGTACTAGCTCAGTATGTAGTCTGGTGGTTGAAAGTCAGTATTTGGAATTTGGTTCTGTTTAGAAGTTGTTTGAAACATTAGATAATAGTTTGAGTAAACCTGTGTTATCGTTTCAAGGGAAAGTTAGATGGCAATGCCAGACTCTTAGATTTTACAGAGAAACTTGAAGCATCTTGTGTAGGAACCGTCGAATCTGGGAAGATGACCAAGGATCTTGCACTCCTCATCCATGGGCCTAAGTAAGTGTTGTCAAGAGTCGTATTTTGTTGGTAACTTTCGGATGCGTTTTCTGTTTCTGTATGATAAAAAGTTTCTGCTTCGTGTAGGGTGACTAGGTCTCAGTATCTGAATACCGAAGAATTTATTGACGCCGTGGCTGATGAGTTGAGAGTTAGATTGTCTAGCAGAGCAAAGTTGTAATCTCGGTTTTGGTTACAAGTACAAATTACCAGGCCCGGAAATAATTAGTCTCAGCGTACTACCTTACAAACACTTGAGCAAATAAGTTTGTCTCCGATGGGGGACTCTTGTTTGTCGCAACAAACTTTATCGTTGTTTTGGGAAATTGAGAGGTTTGCAGTTGCAATGTGTAACAGTTGACTGAAGAAGATTCAACAAGCAAAAAAAGGTGATTGTAGGATGAGGAGTCCGGCAAAGCAGCACGCCGAGGTTGGTTAGTTTTCATCTGTGCTAACCCCTCGGGGGGATCTCAGTCTCAGTCGATTCAAACTGTGTTTGCATTGTGTGTTTGTTTGTTTGCTACCCCACTCGTAGGGGTGGGGTGCCCCTACTAACCCGAGGGACTTAGGGCGTGCTTAAAGTGACTTCACAAGAGTGGTGAACAGATTTCAAACACCATGGCCTCGTTTGACCAAGATTCCATCACCTATCAATCGCTTTAATGCCCTACTTAGTTACAAACCTGCGCTACCAGGTTCGGCGATAATGAAGTTTAATGCAATTCCTTATAAACAGTTGTGGCAACTAGGATTTACTCGATGTGGGACTCAAAAGTCGTATTTATTTGAAAGTTTAAATTGCTTGGATATTGTTTCCGTGCAATAGAAGTTTCATGTTTCATCTAGGATCACTAGGTCTCATTGTCATCTTCTGGTCTTTACTTGAGACCAAAACAAAAAACGGTTTGCACTTGCTGCCCAAGTCGATGGGTTAGGGCATGCTTCATGGGACCTCACACACCAAATAGTGGTTTTTTTAAGGAATGGTGTTAGAATTAAGATTAAAACATTTAACATCAGATTAAAAAACTTATTAGGTGCCTTGATTATAAGCAGAAATATTTCTAAACAGTTGAGTTACAAGCTTCTTATATTTAATTAAACCTTGAAAGTACATCAATCACCAACAACCATTTTGATTAAGGGTACCAATCCTCCTATTTTGTTAGTAGGAGATTCTGAGTTTGAATCTCATCTAGATTTGATTCACATAATATAACAAGAGATAAAATGAAACATACATCAATTTTGTTGGGACGAGCAGATGGTTTGAATTTCATAGGACGTGATTTGTGACTCAAGTTTAAGAGAATTTCCGTTGCACCCGAAGTTCAAGGTTTGATTTCACCATCTCCTTACTCTCACTTGTATATATAAAAAAATAACACATATGTATATACATACGTTAATCTTTACTCTATTATGACTAAGGTTAAAAAAGACACTAATCGGGCGGCGGAGAGGGGAGTTTGACCGAACAGCAAGCGAGGTAAGGTATTTTTCATCTACGAAACATGGGCCATGGGCCCAACCAATCGATTCATAGTTGTGTTTGTTTGCTATCTACTCATAATGAATAGAATGTCACTAACCTAAGTAGCTTAGGACGTGCTTAATGTGATCTCACACACTAACTGGTGGTGAGCAGATTTCAAACATCATATACCCACTTTGCCAAGGCTCCACCACATGTCAATCACTTTAATATCATACTTAGTTACAAGCCGACGCTAGATATTTGAGACTTAATCTGATGTGCCCTTGTATCATTGTCAAAAGAACTATAAGTTAGTGTTCATTTCAGGTTGGACAATGCCAATATGTATTGTGAGACATGCTTTTGGTGATCAGTACGAAGCAACTGATGCAATCAGAGAAGGGCCTGGAAAACTTAAATTGATTTTTGGTAATTCTGTAGAGAGCTTCAAGATTTCTGAGTTTGACTTCTGACTGTTTAAAGTGCTTGTATAGAAGTTAATCTGGTGCACTTTTCTTACACACACACACACACACACACACACACACACACACCATATAGGTACGTTATTATCTTACCAATTGCTTTGCAGTACCTGATGGGTCCAACAAAAAGACAGATTGGGAGGTTTACAAATTTACTGGTGGTGGAGGCATAGCATTGTCCATGTATAACACGGACGAGGTTCAAATTTTCTGTTTAAGCAGAAATAAAAAGTTCTGGTAAACCGGTTACCTCTGTAAATGATTTAACGGCTTTTTTTTATTCTGCTTAAATTGTGAGAGCAGTCTATCCGTGCTTTTGCTGAGGCTTCAATGAACACTGACTACCAGAAAAAGTGGCCACTTTATCTTAGCACTAAAAATACTATTCTGAAGAAATATGATGGAAGGTATGATGCTATCCGGTTGTCTTTCATCTTTCACCGTGCAGTCTTTTCTTTTCATAATTACCCATTGTACTTTATGAGTCGGTGTGACTTTGATGTAACGTTTCACTACAGGATTTTTATTGCCATTTTCTTACTCTTGCATGTAATGAAGGTTCAAGGACATCTTCCAGGAAGTTTATGAAGCTCATTGGAGATCAAGATATTGCAGGGATTTGGTGAGATAACTTGTCATCCAAGCTGATTAGTTTGTGTAGGTCCGGTGGTTTTCAAATAATTAGTACTCTGATTTGAAGGTATTAGCATCGTCTTATTGACAACATGGTTGCTTATGCTCTCAAAAGTGAAGGAGGTTATGTTTGGGCGTGCAAAAATTATGATGGGGATGTGCAAAGTGGCTTCTTAGCCCAAGGTCTGAATTTACTTTTGTTAAAGTCTTTGAGTTAGTATTCAACTATTTCTCTTTTTAACATGTGGTGCTGCGTTTGTTAGAAGCGAATGCTATTTCCTTGATTGTCCTAGCGAATGTGTTTGCTAATGTTTGGTTACCTTTCAATGAACTTTGATACAGGTTTTGCATCTCTGGGGCTGATGACATTTATACTGGTAATCAATTCTGTCTAATATTTCACTATGCTTGTTGGGGTACAGTTATGAGTTTGGATGTATGAAAACATGGATTTGGTTCCAGGTGTGCCCAGATGGAAAGACCATCGAAGCTGAAGCAGCCCATGGTACAGTAACCCGCCATTACCGGGTCCACCAGAAAGGAGGCGAAACAAGCACAAACAGCATAGCTTCGATCTTTGCATGGTCACGAGGTCTTGCACACAGGTATTAGCTTAGTCTGTAGTCTGGTGATTGAAAGTCAGTCTTTGGATTTTGTGTCTACGTTTAGAAATTGTTTGAAACATCAGATGAGAGTTTGAGTAAACCTGTGTTATCGTATCAGGGAAAAGTTAGATGGCAATGCCAGACTCTTAGATTTTACAGAGAAACTTGAAGCATCTTGCGTATGAACTGTCGAATCTGGGAAGATGACCAAGGATCTTGCACTCCTCATCCATGGGCCTAAGTAAGTGTTGTCAAGAGTCGTATTTTGTTGGCAACTTTCAGATGCGTTTTCTGTTTCTGTATGAAAGAAAGTTTCATGCTTCGTGTAGGGTAACTAGGTCTCAGTATCTGAATACCGAAGAATTCATTGACGCCGTGGCTGATGAGTTGAGAGTTAGATTGTCTAGCAGAGACAAAGTTGTAATCTCCGTTTGGTTAAAAGTCCACGTTACCAGGCCCGGACTACCTTACAAACACTTGAGCAAATAAGTTTGTCTCCGATGGGCGATGGGGGACTTGTTTGTCGTAACAAACTTTATCGTTGTTTTGGGAAATTGAGAGGTTTGCAGTTGCAATGATCGTGTAACAATTGATTGAAGAAGATTCAACAAGCAAAAAAAGGTGATTGTAGGATAAGGAGTCCGGCAAAGCAGCACGCCGAGGTTAGGAAGTTTTCATCTGCGCTAACCCCATCGGGGGGGTCTCAGTCGGATTCAAACTGTGTTTGAATTGTGTGTTTGTTTGTTTTGCTACCCCGCTCGTAAGGGTGGGGTGCCCCTACTAACCCAAGGGGCTTAGGGCGTGCTTAAAGTGACTTCACAAGAGTTGTGAACAGATTTCAAACGCCATGGCCTCGCTTGACCAAGATTCCATCACCCATCAATCGTTTTAATGCCCTGCTTAGTTACAAACCTGTGCTACCAGGTTCGGCGATACTGAAGTTTAATGCAATTCCTTATAAACAGCTGTGGCAACCAGGGTTTACCCGATGTGGGACTCAAAAGTCGTATTTCTTTAAAAGTTTAAATTCCTTAGATATTGTTTCCGTGCGATAAAAGTTTCATGTTTGATCTAGGATCACTAGGTCTCATTGTCATCTTCTGTTCTTTATTTGAGACCAAAACAAGAAGCTGTTTGCACTTGCTGCCCAAGTCGATGGGTTGGGGCATGCTTCATGGGACCTCACACACCAAATAGTGGTTTTTTATAGGAATGATGTTAAAATTAAGATTAAAACATTTAAAGTCAGATTAAAAAACTTATTAGGTGCCTTGATTACAAGTAGAAATATTCCTAAACAACTGAGTTACAAGCCTCTTATATTTAATTAAACCTTGAAAGTACATCAATCATCAACAACCATTTTGATTAATGGTACCAATCCTCCGATTTTCTCGGGAGGACATTCTGAGTTTGAATCTCATCTAGATTTGATTCACATAATATAAGAAAAGATAAAATGAAACATACATCAATTTTGTTGGGACGAGCTGATGGTTTGAATTTCATAGGAAGTGATTTGTGACTCAAGTTTAAGAGAATTTCCGTTGCACCCGAAGTTCAAGGTGTGATTTCACCATCTCCTTACTCTCGCTTGTATATAAAAAATAAAAACAATAAAAAAGAGTTGATGAATTAAAAACACATATATGTATATACATACGTTAACTTTACTTTACTGTGACTAATGTTAAAAAAGACACTAATCAGGTGGCGGATACGGGAGTTTGGCCAAACAGCAAGCTAGGTAAGATATTTTTCATCCGTGGAACATGGTCCATGGGCCCAACCAATCGATTCATAGTTGTGCTTGTTTGCTATCTACTCATAATGAATGAAGTGTCACTAACCTGAGTAGCTTAGAACATGCTTAATAGGAGCTCAATGTTGTGTAATGCATAATATCTAAAACCATATGCTTACACTTCATCTCTTCAAGAAATTCTACGAAACCTCGTCAAGATAGATACCCAAGTTCTTATATTCTGTAAACTGATCCACCGCTTCAGAAGGCATGCCCATCTTACACATACACTGAAGAATTAAACCAACAATCACACAATTTGTTTTTACACCCTTCGACTCCATGTCATGATTGAAGAAGATTCAACAAGCAAAAAAAGGTGATTGTAGGATGAGGAGTCCGGCAAAACAGCACGCCGAGGTTTGGTAGCTTTCATCTGCGCTACCCCATCGGGGGGTCTCAGTCGATTCAAACTGTGTTTGCATTGTGTGTTTGTTTGTTTGCTACCCCGCTCGTAAGGGGGAATGCCCCTATTAACCTGAGGGGCTTAGGGTGTGCTTAAAGTGACTTCACAAGAGTGGTGAACAGATTTCAAACACCATAAGCCTCACTTGACCAAGATTCCATCACCCATCAATTACTTTAATGCCCTACTTAGTTATAAAGTTATGCTACCAGGTTCGGCAATACTCAAATTTAATGCAATTCCTTAGTTGTGGCAACCAGGGTTTATCCTATGTGGGACTCAAAAGTCGTATTTCTTTATAAGTTTAAATTGCTTGGAACGTGCGATAAAGGTTTCATGTTTCATCTAGGATCACTAGGTCTCATTGTCTCAGCATCTTCCGTTCTTTAGTTGAGACCAAACAAGAAACGGTTTGCATTTGCTACCCGCTTTATCATGGGCGGGGTGCCCAAGTCGATGGGTTAAGGCATGCTTCATGGGACCTCACACACTAAATATTGATTTTTTATAGAAATGATCTTAAAATTAAGATTAAAGAATTTAACATCAGATTAAAAAACATATTAGGTGCCTTGATTACAACCAGAAATATTCTTAAACAATTGAGTTACAAACCTCTCATATTTAATAAACCTTCAAAGTACATCAATCACCAACGACCATTTTGATTAATGGTACCAATCCTCCAATTTTTTTAGGAGGAGGTTCTAAGTTTGAATCTCATCTAGATTTGATTCACATAATAAAAGAAAAGATAAAAAGAAACATACATCAATTTTGTTGGGATGAGTTGATTGTTTGAATTTCATAGGAAGTGATTTGTGACTCAAGCATTGTTAAGAGAATTTCCTTTGCACCCAAAGTTCAAGGTTTGATTTCACCATCTTTTACTCTCGCTTGTATAAAAATAAAAAAATAAAAAAGTTTGATGAATTAAAAACACATATGTATATAAAAAGGACACTAATCGGGTAGCAGACAAGGGAGTTTGGCCACACAGCAAGCTAGGTAAGGTATTTTTCATCTGTGGAACATGGAACATGGGCCATGGGCCCAACCAATCGATTCATAGTTGTGCTTGTTTGCTATCTACTCATAATGAATGAAGTGCCACTAACCTAAGTAGCTTAGGAAGTGCTTAATGTAATCTCATACACTAACTGGTGATGAGCAGGTTTCAAACATCATATACCCACTTTGCCAAGGCTCCATCACTCGTCAATCACTTTAATATCCTACTTACTTACAAACCAATAATAGATATTTGAGACTTAATCCGACGTGGGACTCCAACATTTTTTTCGTTACAATGATGTTTCCGGGGGTAAAATACCCTTAACTTTAAAAGTTGCATCATTAACCACTCTGTTTTATTATTTGGCACTAACCATCGGGGAACACAATTAACAAAATTTATATTTCTTAGGTAATTTTTCTTTATCGGTTTCGAATTTGCTTAAACATCAAACATACATCCATTTTCGCATAAGAAAAACACATACATCACAAAAAAAAAAAAATACATACATCAATCGCCAATGAGTCAATGACCCACTTGGATTAGTAGTACAGTCTTCGATAGTGTCCGAGGAGGTCATGAATTTAAATCTCATGAACAGTCCGACTGATAAATTAACACATGTATACATACACGACAATCTTTACTATAGTACTAAACCACAAAATTTGAATGTGAAGGCAGCTTGGCATTGCCATCATCTTCTTTCAGGTTTCCATAGTCACAGTAGCAACTTTCTCCACTGTTTTGGCTCTTCGTCCATCCTGCGATTTGCTCTCTATAGCTTATGCAGATTTTTTCCGACTATTCTTTCTTTATGTCTTAAAAAAATATACAGACCAGAAACAGCGAGTTAGGTACTGCAATGAACAGAAAGCAAAAGGAAAATCCCTATAAGGATCAAATAAAATATTTACGATTCATTTATATTGAGTATACGCTGGTAGTACAGTACGGAAATAATTTAAACCCCATAAAGAGGTTTACTGAACTTTGTTAAAATGGGTCTGGTGGTAAGAACACCTACTGCCGCACTCATGGCTAGTGTTCAACTCTCACGTTTCCATTCTAAATATTTTACGATAAAAAAGAGGAAACCAGCAAATGTTCTAGTAAGAGACGAGGGTCATATCATGCTCTCAGACTTCGATCTCTCACTCCGTTGTTCTGTCAATCCTACACTAGTCAAGTCTTCATCTGCCCATGTAAGCAATGGTGGTGCTGCCGGTGGTGGTGGTGGTGGCGGGGGCATTTTAGACGATGACCTTGCTGTGCATGGTTGTATGCAGCCTTCCAATTTCTTTCCACGCATTTTACCTACCAAGAAAAACCGGAATTCCAAATCAGATTTTGGCCTTTCGACTAATGGATCCCTCCCTGAACTGATGGCAGAGCCTACAAATGTGCGTTCCATGTCATTTGTTGGAACACACGAATATCTAGCCCCAGAGATTATTCGCGGAGAGGGCCATGGAAGTGCAGTGGACTGGTGGACATTTGGTATCTTCTTATACGAGCTCTTACATGGGACAACCCCCTTCAAAGGTCAAGGAAGTCGTCCCACGCTCTTCAACGTTGTAGGCCAGCCTCTGAAATTCCCAGAAACACTACAAGTAAGCGTTGTGGTGCGTAATCTCATACGAGGACTCTTGGTGAAAGAACCACATAAACGAATTGCGTACAAAAGGGGTGCCACAGAAATAAAGCAACACCCATTTTTCGAGGGAGTGAAATGGGCTCTGGTGAGATGTGCCACGCCTCCCCATGTTCCTGAACCGGTAAACTTTTCACAATATGCCAGCAAGGAGGCGAACTCTGCAGACAAAAAGATGACAGATGTGGGAAGTGATAAGAAGAACGGTAGTAATGATTCATCTTATGTAGATTTTGAGTACTTCTAGCACTCCTTTAGGATGATATTTTACATTCTCGGGAGGAAAACTACATTGTACAAAGAGCAAAACGTTGCAACCCAATGATATATATACTTATCATTACATGTTGAGGGTTTCACAGAGAAAACATTTGTTAGCAGAATACTATTGATTTCTTTCTAGGCAAGGGGAAATAACAACACATATATAGGGATGGAAATTGCATCTAAAGTTTTGTGTGTCATTCTTTCGCGTGTATATGCGTCGATTTCTGTTTAAGGATTTGTCGATGTGTACTACATTGTATATGATTTGTATCTGGTCTGGTGTAACATACTGTCAAACTGTTCAAAGTGGGACTAATACTTGTTCCGTTGCTTCGGAATTTCGTGCTGATTATGGAACTCCTCAGGCTGAATTGAAAAGTAGATTGTGTTAATGATACAACTCCTGGATATTGTATGCTGTCATAGTAAACATGTTTAGAATTTGTATGGGGAGATAGCAGTACTGTCTTGTATAATATTCTCTACCCTTGACTTGTTTAGGCATCTCCTTGCACTTGGTAAAGATGCCTACTTGAGCAGGCCTTTGGGACTGCAAAGTGGGTTTATTCTGAAACCCAAAGTGAATATTCGAAATATAAAATACTAAAAACAAAAAAATAAAAATACGCGAGACTCTAATACCATGAAATTAAAGTTCCACTTTAAAATTAATTGACAATAGGAGGGTATTATAACTCCACATAAGTCGTTGCATAACTTATACACTTTCCAACATGAGACAACTATTCACATTGATGAGGTATGATGAAAAATTCTAACGACAACCAAGAGGCCACCCCGGCACAACGAGAAATACTAAGGAGACCCACCATGCATGACTAGGGACTTTCTTGATTGCTCTAGATTACATGGTACTCCAGATGTTTTAATTGTTAAATCTTTATTTAAAAGTATAAAAATCAAGATCGAATAGTTGAAACACCTGGAGTATGGTACTCTAGAGCACCCTAGACGCTTTGTCCATGACTATACATAACACAACTCAGGGCACAAAAAGGTATACTAACTAGCTATTAATCTAGTGACAGAAAAAACCTCTCTCTCTAAAACCTTTATTTCCCTCTGCCTTCAGGAAAAAAGAAACCCTCCTAGCCGCCGCTCCTTACTCTGACTTGGGGTTGGCGGCAACCCGACTCCCACCTCTTTCTAGCCTTTCTTCCCTCTTCCTCTTCCTTCTCCACCCCCTGTAGCTTCCCTCTTTCCCCATCTTTTCCCTGTAGCTTCCCTCTTTCCCCATCTTTTCTTTCCATCCATCTCTACTCTTTGCATCTTCCCTTTTCCCCCTTCTTTCCTTCATCCTTCCCCCATCCTTCCACTCAAAAAGTTTTTTTAATTTCAGCACTTTTTTCCGTTGATCCAGTTGTTTCGTTGGTTCGTCCTCTTGATGGTGGTGGTGGCCTTGCAATGGAGGGACATCTAGTGGCTACTGGTTTCCATTTCAGTCTGAGGGTTTTTTTGTTGTTGTTCAGCTGGCCACTTTGGGCCTACGCCTATTTATTGTATTTTCTTATTTGTCGCTGGGCTTGTATTTAGGTAATGGGTTGCCTTCTTGTACTAGTCTTTCTAATTAATGGAAGTAATTTAGTTTGACCAAAAACAAAAAAATCTAGCTATATTAATACTTCTCTTTGTGTTAAAAGACATCTCAACTTTGAACTCTCACGATGCGTTAGCAAGAGATTGGAAAACAGGATTGAGTATAGTAGGTTTGATGAAATATGTAAAATTAGTTGGACAGAAAATAAAATATTTCAAAAGAAACGCCCGTGTAAATAAAAAGTTCTTTTATTAAAAATAGATAAATAGAATAGTAAAAATGTTAGTGTTGCTCCTCGTTAATAGGAAGAGATCCTCTCCGCATCTTTCTCACCAAAACCATCAAGTCCATTTATCCAGATCCTTAAATTTTGATCTAATGGTACAAACAGGGTTCTTTAAAAGTTATAATAATTTTAGTTGTTTGATCAAATTTCAAAAATCTAAATGAGTGGACTAGATGGTTTTGTGGGAGAGATCCGGAGAGGATCTCTTCCTTTAGTTAATCCAAATGAATGACAGTGAGTGAGCAATTCTTGACACGCTCTTCTGAGACCTCACTACTTTCAATCTGAACGAGAAATACAACGTTTTTGTCATCACGCACTCTCATTTCTAAGTTCCCATTTCAGCCTCCGACCTTTCAATTTCATTAAGTAAACAACAAATATTCACTTTTCTTCGCTGATTCTGTTTTCTCCCGCCAAAGCCGAAAGCTTTCGAAGCAAAAAGCACGAAACTTTGACCTGTTTTGGTGTCAGGGGAGAAATGGAGGCGTTCGATAAGATAAAGGTGACCAACCCAATTGTCGAAATGGACGGTACGATTTCTCTCCACTCCCATCTGATTCTCTGATTTCTATTTTCCGCCATTGTTTTGTTGCGAACTCTTGTTTAAGCTGCTCAAAAATGGCATGTTTCTCTGCTTTTTTGAATGCTTGAATTAATCTGGAAAATATGGATGGATAGACATTATACAAATGATCAAAGTGGTGTTTTTGGATGATCCCATTGATCAGAGCATGCCCTTCAATCCATGTTTTAAGGACACCCCAACTATCATGCACCATAAAAGTAGATGATCTTAGAATTACAGGATTTTGGTCAATTTGTGGGCTTTCTTGCCTTACCCACCAGTCCACTACTATGATGTTTCTGAGCTCATAGATTTAAATGATTAAACTTCTTTTTCGTTCGTTTGAGCCGAATTGCGTGCAAATTATCTTATTAGAGGGTAAGGACATAGATGCAATGCAACATCTGAATTGAGATGTATATATCTTTGCCGGAGGCTTGGAGCTGTACTGATTCTGATTTATTCAACTTTTTGTTATCTATGTTTAAGCTATGATGCATTATTTTCCGTGATGCAGGAGATGAAATGAATGGGGTGTTCTGGACATGGATAAAAGACAAGGTAATTTTGTTATCATGTGTTCCCTGTGATTTCATAGAGTTGTTGATGAATCTGCAACTTGTTTTCGTGTTCCACAGCTTATTTTTCCCTTCCTGGAGTTGGATATCAAGTACTTCGACCTTGGGATTCTTAATCGCGATGCCACCAATGATAGAGTCACAATTGAAAGTACCGAAGCTACTCTTAAGTGTGCCCTATCATTCTCCCTTCACAGTTGCTTTGCTATACTCAACTACCCTTCATGAACTTACTGTTTTTCTTCCCTTCATTTTAGTTGTTGCTGCTTTCTTTTTCCTTTTTTACTGGCACGAGTTTGGCATGTTTAAATGGGCTCGACATGAGTTTGTCATATACTTTTGAACGGAATGACAAGTCAAATTGTTCGTGCTAGGCACAATTTGTCATATTCTATTAAAACAATTAGCATCTTTATTGAAACTAATTTTTTCATGAAAATTACTTTATCACCTGTTGACGCTCCTTTATTTTTGTTGTATAAATTTGCTTCCTTTTTTTGCTTGTTATCGTAGGTACAATGTAGCAATAAAGTGTGCAACTATAACTCCAGGTATTATACAGATTCATAAATTTAGAGACAATGTGCATTTCTCCTTAATAAATGGACTACTTGGCCCTTTTTCATGGACATGATTTGGCCAACGTACTATTGTGATGATCTGGATCATTTATTTGGATGTTTATAGATGAAACTCGTGTGAAGGAGTTCAACTTGAAACAGATGTGGAGGAGTCCAAATGGGACCATACGGAACATTTTAAATGGTCAATTGAATACTCCCTCAATATCTAGTATTTACCATTGTGTATTCTTTGTTTGACCGATTGTAAGTAGCCAATGCATTTTGGTGTCTGTCGGTACTGTTTTTAGAGAACCTATTCTGCAGAAATGTTCCCCGTCTTGTTCCAGGTTTGCTACAAGTTTGTCATCTAAATTTGCCTTTGTATCATTGTCAAAAGAACTATAAGTTAGTGTTCATTTCAGGTTGGATAATGCCAATATGTATTGGGAGACATGCTTTTGGTGATCAGTACGAAGCAACTGATGCAATCGTAGAAGGACCTGGAAAACTTAAATTGGTTTTTGGTAATTCAGTAGGAGCTTCAAGATTTCTGAGTTTGACTTTTGACTGTTTAAAGTACTTGTATAGAAGTTAATCTGGTGTGCTTTTCTTACACACACACACACACACCATATAGGTACATTATTATCTTATCAATTGCTTTGCAGTACCTGATGGGCCCAATGAGAAGACAGAGTGGGAGGTTTACAGATTTACTGGCGCTGGAGGCATAGCTTTGTTCATGTATAACACGGACGAGGTTCAAATTTTCCGTTCAAGCAAAAATAAAAATTTCTGGTAAACTAATTACATCTGTAAATGATTTGCTGACAGCTATTTTTTATTATCCTTAAATTGTGAGAGCAGTCTATCCGTGCTTTTGCTGAGGCTTCCATGGACACTGCGTACCAGAAAAAGTGGCCACCTTATCTTAGCACTAAAAATACTATTCTGAAGAAATATGATGGAAGGTATGATGTTATCCTGTTGCCTTGCATCTTTCACCGTGCAATCTTTTCTGTTCATAATTACCCATGTTTCATTATGAGTCGGTATGAGTTTATGATGTAACGTTTCACTACAGGATTTTTTATTGCCATTTTCTTACTCTTGAATTTAATGAAGATTCAAGGACATCTTCCAGGAAGCTTATGAAGCCCATTGGAGATCAAGATATGAAGCTGCAGGGATTTGGTGAGATAACTTGTCATCCAAGCTGATTAGTTTGTGTAGGTCCGGTGATTTTCAACTAATTAGAAGTCTGATTTGAAGGTATGAGCATCGTCTTATTGACGACATGGTTGCTTATGCTCTCAAAAGTGAAGGAGGTTATGTTTGGGCATGCAAAAATTATGATGGGGATGTGCAAAGTGAAAATGGGTCCGGACCTCCTGCGGGAATGATTTGGAAGATCCAAAATCAAAAATAGTGGTATTTGCTAGCAACAACATAATGGAGGCAGTCAATCAATATAGATTGATCCGAAATCCTTTCCTATTTCTTCTAGTCGTAGGGTTAAAACCAAAAAATATTTATTGCTTTCTTGATGACATTAAGTTCTTTCAAAATTGACTATCTGTCCCTCTGTTAGAAGTGTTCCAGAAATGTCTGCGATTGAGTAAATAGCTCTACGAACGAATATAGCCCGAGGTCTGTATTTACTTTTGTTAGTCTGTGAGTTAGTATTCAACTATTTCTCTTTTTAACGTGTGGTGCTGCTTTTGTTGGAAGCAAATGCTATTTCCTTGACTGTCCTAGCGAATGTGTTTGCTAATGTTTGGTTACCTTTCAATAAACTTTGATACAGGTTTTGGATCACTGGGGCTGATGACATTTATACTGGTAATCAATTTTGTCTAATATTTCGCTATGCTTGTTGGGGGTACAGTTATGAGTTTGGATGCATGAAAACTTGGATTTGGTTCCAGGTGTGCCCAGATGGAAAGACCATCGAAGCTGAAGCAGCCCATGGTACAGTAACCCACCATTACCGGGTCCACCAGAAAGGAGGCGAAACAAGCACAAACAGCATAGCTTCGATCTTTGCATGGTCACGAGGTCTTGCACTCAGGTACTATCTCAGTATGTAGTCTGGTGGTTGAAAGTCAGTATTTGGAATTTGGTTCTGTTTAGAAATTGTTTGAAACATTAGATAATAGTTTGAGTAAACCTGTGTTATCGTTTCAAGGGAAAGTTAGATGGCAATGCCAGACTCTTAGATTTTACAGAGAAACTTGAAGCATCTTGTGTAGGAACCGTCGAATCTGGGAAGATGACCAAGGATCTTGCACTCCTCATCCATGGGCCTAAGTAAGTGTTGTCAAGAGTCGTATTTTGTTGGTAACTTTCGGATGCGTTTTCTGTTTCTGTATGATAAAAAGTTTCTGCTTCGTGTAGGGTGACTAGGTCTCAGTATCTGAATACCGAAGAATTTATTGACGCCGTGGCTGATGAGTTGAGAGTTAGATTGTCTAGCGAGCAAAGTTGTAATCTCGGTTTTGGTTACAAGTACAAATTACCAGGCCCGGAAATAATTAGTCTCAGCGTACTACCTTACAAACACTTGAGCAAATAAGTTTGTCTCCGATGGGGGACTCTTGTTTGTCGCAACAAACTTTATCGTTGTTTTGGGAAATTGAGAGGTTTGCAGTTGCAATGTGTAACAGTTGACTGAAGAAGATTCAACAAGCAAAAAAAGGTGATTGTAGGATGAGGAGTCCGGCAAAGCAGCACGCCGAGGTTGGTTAGTTTTCATCTGTGCTACCCCCTCGGGGGGGTCTCAGTCGATTCAAACTGTGTTTGCATTGTGTGTTTGTTTGTTTGCTACCCCACTCGTAGGGGTGGGGTGCCCCTACTAACCCGAGGGACTTAGGGCGTGCTTAAAGTGACTTCACAAGAGTGGTGAACAGATTTCAAAGACCATGGCCTCGCTTGACCAAGATTCCATCACCTATCAATCGCTTTATTGCCCTGCTTAGTTACAAACCTGCGCTACCAGGTTCGGCGATAATGAAGTTTAATGCAATTCCTTATAAACAGTTGTGGCAACTAGGATTTACCCGATGTGGGACTCAAAAGTCGTATTTATTTGAAAGTTTAAATTGCTTGGATATTATTTCCGTGCAATAGAAGTTTCATGTTTCATCTAGGATCACTAGGTCTCATTGTCATCTTCTGGTCTTTACTTGAGACCAAAACAAAAAACGGTTTGCACTTGCTGCCCAAGTCGATGGGTTAGGGCATGCTTCATGGGACCTCACACACCAAATAGTGGTTTTTTTTTAAGGCATGGTGTTAGAATTAAGATTAAAACATTTAACATCGGATTAAAAAACTTATTAGGTGCCTTGATTATAAGCAGAAATATTTCTAAACAGCTGAGTTACAAGCCTCTTATATTTAATTAAACCTTGAAAGTACCTCAATCTCCAACGACCATTTTGATTAAGGGTACCAATCCTCCTATTTTGTTAGTAGGAGATTCTGAGTTTAAATCTCATCTAGATTTGATTCACATAATATAACAAGAGATAAAATGAAACATACATCAATTTTGTTGGGACGAGCTGATGGTTTGAATTTCATAGGAAGTGATTTGTGACTCAAGTTTAAGAGAATTTCCGTTGCACCCGAAGTTCAAGGTTTGATTTCACCATCTCCTTACTCTCACTTGTATATAAAAAAAATTAAAAAAAAAGTTGATGAATTAAAAACACACATATGTATATACATACGTTAATCTTTACTCTATTATGACTAAGGTTAAAAAAGACACTAATCAGGCGGTGGAGAGGGGAGTTTGACCGAATAGCAAGCTAGGTAAGGTATTTTTCATCTACAAAACATGGGCCATGGGCCCAACCAATCGATTCATAATTGTGCTTGTTTGCTATCTGCTCATAATGAATAGAATGTCACTAACCTAAGTAGCTTAGGACATGCTTAATGTGATCTTACACACTAACTGGTGGTGAGCAGATTTCATACATCATATACCCACTTTGCCAAGGTTCCACCACATGTCAATCACTTTAATATCATGCTTAGTTACAAGCCGATGCTAGATATTTGAGACCTAATCTGATGTGCCCTGTATCATTGTCAAAAGAACTGTAAGTTAGTGTTCATTTCAGGTTGGACAATGCCAATATGTATTGGGAGACATGCTTTTGGTGATCAGTACGAAGCAACTGATGCAATCATAGAAGGACCTGGAAAACTTAAATTGATTTTTGGTAATTCAGTAGAGAGCTTCAAGATTTCTGAGTTTGACTTCTGACTGTTTAAAGTGCTTGTATAAAAGTTAATCTGGTGCACTTCTCTTATACACACACCATATAGGTACGTTATTATCTTACCAATTGCTTTGCAGTACCTGATGGGTCCAACAAGAAGACAGAGTGGGAGGTTTACAAATTTACTGGTGCTGGAGGCATAGCATTGTCCATGTATAACACGGACGAGGTTCAAATTTTCCGCTTAAGATAGAGGAGGAGTTCATCATCCTCAAGATATTTTGTGGTCGACTCACGGAACTTCCTACTTATAATGGTATAGATCACTATATAAAGATAACCTCTACAACAAAATCAATTAACTATAACATATAGATAGACGGTTAATAATTTTTGTACCGAATTCATCAATCTATTTTTATACAGTTCGATAACTAGACGATCTCATATTTTATCCATTTTTTGCAGGGACGATCTTTACAAGTGATTAATAATAGGAATGATTTTGATCATAAGTATGAACTTTTTTTGTAAAAAGTTCTGGTAAACTGGTTACCTCTGTAAATGATTTAACAGCTTTTTTTTATTCTGCTTAAATTGTGAGAGCAGTCTATCCGTGCTTTTGCTGAGGCTTCAATGAACACTGACTACCAGAAAAAGTGGCCACTTTATCTTAGCACTAAAAATACTATTCTGAAGAAATATGATGGAAGGTATGATGCTATCCGGTTGTCCTTCATCTTTCACCGTGCAGTCTTTTCTTTTGAAGAAGATTCAACAAGCAAAAAAAGGTGATTGTAGGATAAGGAGTCCGGCAAAGCAGCACGCCGAGGTTAGGAAGTTTTCATCTGCGCTACCCCATCGGGGGGGTCTCAGTCGGATTCAAACAGTGTTTGCATTGTGTGTTTGTTTGTTTTGCTACCCCGCTCGTAAGGGTGGGGTGCCCCTACTAACCCGAGGGATTTAGGGCGTGCTTAAAATATGATGCAAACACTGTATCTTAGCACTAAAAATACTATTCTGAAGAAATATGATGGAAGGTATGATGCTATCCGGTTGTCCTTCATCTTTCACCGTGCAGTCTTTTCTTTTGAAGAAGATTCAACAAGCAAAAAAAGGTGATTGTAGGATAAGGAGTCCGGCAAAGCAGCACGCCGAGGTTAGGAAGTTTTCATCTGCGCTACCCCATCGGGGGGGTCTCAGTCGGATTCAAACAGTGTTTGCATTGTGTGTTTGTTTGTTTTGCTACCCCGCTCGTAAGGGTGGGGTGCCCCTACTAACCCGAGGGATTTAGGGCGTGCTTAAAATATGATGCAAACACTGTATCTTAGCACTAAAAATACTATTCTGAAGAAATATGATGGAAGGTATGATGCTATCCGGTTGTCCTTCATCTTTCACCGTGCAGTCTTTTCTTTTGAAGAAGATTCAACAAGCAAAAAAAGGTGATTGTAGGATAAGGAGTCCGGCAAAGCAGCACGCCGAGGTTAGGAAGTTTTCATCTGCGCTACCCCATCGGGGGGGTCTCAGTCGGATTCAAACAGTGTTTGCATTGTGTGTTTGTTTGTTTTGCTACCCCGCTCGTAAGGGTGGGGTGCCCCTACTAACCCGAGGGATTTAGGGCGTGCTTAAAGTGACTTCACAACAGTTGTGAACAGATTTCAAACACCATGGCCTCGCTTGACCAAGATTTCATCACCCATCAATCGTTTTAATGCCCTGCTTAGTTACAAACCTGTGCTACCAGGTTCGGCGATACTAAAGTTTAATGCAATTCCTTATAAACAGCTGTGGCAACCAGGGTTTACCCGATGTGGGACTCAAAAGTCATATTTCTTTAAAAGTTTAAATTCCTTAGATATTGTTTCCGTGCGATAAAAGTTTCATGTTTGATCTAGGATCACTAGGTCTCATTGTCATCTTCTGTTCTTTATTTGAGACCAAAACAAGAAGCTGTTTGCACTTGCTGCCCAAGTCGTTGGGGCATGCTTCATGGGACCTCACACACCAAATAGTGGTTTTTTTTAGGAATGATGTTAAAATTAAGATTAAAACATTTAAAGTCAGATTAAAAAACTTATTAGGTGCCTTGATTACAAGCAGAAATATTCCTAAACAATTGAGTTACAAGCCTCTTATATTTAATTAAACCTTGAAAGTACATCAATCATCAACAACCATTTTGATTAATGGTACCAATCCTCCGATTTTCTTAGGAGGAGATTCTGAGTTTGAATCTCATCTAGATTTGATTCACATAATATAAGAAAAGATAAAATGAAACATACATCAATTTTGTTGGGACGAGCTGATGGTTTGAATTTCATAGGAAGTGATTTGTGACTCAAGTTTAAGAGAATTTCCGTTGCACCCGAAGTATCTCCTTACTCACGCTTGTATATAAAAAATAAAAACAATAAAAAAAGAGTTGATGAAACAAAAAGATGACAGATGTGGGAAGTGATAAGAAGAACGGTAGTAATGATTCATCTTATGTAGATTTTGAGTACTTCT